GCTAGAGCTCACCTAACCAATCTAGCTTGCAAACCTATGCAACTAGTACTTCACACAAACGAGGGAGCTCCTACACAATCTAGTAAGCAAAAGCACAAAAGCCACCTAAGCTTACTAGCAATGCTCAATAACAAGGCTACACAAGCTAAATTAGAGAGCGTAAATTACTTAGCTACACAAACTAAGTAATGTGACTAACAAGGTTACTAAAACCAAATTAGCCACTCAAGGGAGCTACTTCTTATGCTACACAAGCAAGAAGGCAACTAGCAAGCTACTAAAGCGAGGCAACTAGCAAGCTACTAAAGCTAAACTAGTCACAAGAGCAACTACACAAGCACAATGTATATGAAAGTAATACAAACTTGTATTTCACGGAATGCAAACCACCGAGAAGAAGATGAAGACAATGTTGACACGATAATTTTCTCCCGAGGTTCACTTGGTTGCCACCAAGCTACGTTCCCGTTGTGTCGACCACTCACTTGGTGGTTTGGCGGCTAATTGGCATCACCCGCCAAGCCCACACGTCGGACACCGCAAGAACCTACCCCAAAAGTGAGGGTAGCCTAATGACACGCTCAACTAGAGTTGCTCCTCGTGATCCCCGTGGGGTGAGCACAATCTCCCTCACAAATCCTCCTCTGGAGCACCGCACAATCTTCTCACGTGCTTCAACGGAGTCACAAGCCACCAAGCCATCTAGGAGGTGGCAACCTCCAAGAGTAACAAGCACCACTGGCTTACAACTCGATCACCTAGTGCCACTTGATGCAACCTCACGATGCAATTGCACTAGAATCACACTCACTCGCAATCGGATACAACCACTATGTGCACAAGTGAGTTAGAGGCTCTCCTAGCACTCTCCAAGCATGGACACTAAATCCTAAGGGTTCTAAGCATCATCCAAGGCCAGCCACACACTCCTTTTATAGCCCTAAGGGCTAAAATAGCCGTTACCCCCTTCACTGGGCACTTTTCGCACTGACCAGACTCGCAGCCGAAGTGACCGGACGCGTAGGTTGCAGAGTCCGGTCGCAGAGTCCAATCGCTCCTCGTGCGCCACGTGTCCTAGCCATTCGAAGATGACCGTTGCTCGCCAACGGCTAGCTCCCGCGCGCGTATACTCCTGACCGGACGCGCCTAGGTGCAGCGACCGGACATGTCGAGGTCGAGTCCGGTCACCAACGCGCCTCTGCACAACTGACCGGACTCACCTTTCTTCTACGACCGGACTCGACTCTCCTAGAGTCCGGTCACTTCTAGAGAGGTTCCAGAGAGCTCTTTTGATGACCGGACGCGTCAGGTCATCACTGACTGGACTCTTGGTGCGTCCGGTCGCTCCTGGACGTGTTAAAACACTGACCGGACTCACAGGCGCTGACCCGACACGCAGGTCGTAGACCTTTCAACGCTAAAACAGCTATAACTCTTAGCTCCGAACTCCAATTTTGATGATCTTGGACATTTGGGAAAGCTTATTCAGAGGGCTACACAACCCACTTGCATATCTGATCCAAAGCATAATGGATCAATGCAGAATTCCAAATCAAGAGCCATCCTATAGTTTAAAGTACACCGAAAAAACCTCTCTCTCTCTCCAAGTTGATCCAATTCAACCCCAACAACTTCTCCTTTGCAAATGTGCCAACACCACCAAGTGTACACCACCAAGTGCAAGTGTGTTAGCATTTTCATAAAACATTTTTCAAAGGATTAATCACTCAATTCACCACGCCACTCGATCCTAGTAACGTCGCAAAGTTAGATCGCTCAAGTGGCACTAGATGACCGATATGCAAACAAGTTTGCCCCTCTTGATAGTACGACCATCTACCCTAAACCCGGTCATCAATTTCTCTACACACCTATGACCGGTGAAATGAAATGCCCTATAGGTTATACCTTTGCCTTGCGCATTCCATTCCATCTCCTCCAATGTCGATGCAACATATGCACCAACATGATCACAAATGATATGATTCACTTTATATCATCACGTGACCTTGTTGGTTCGATCTTGACCTCACTTGCTCTTCTCCGTTGCCTTGGTCCATTGGTGCCAAGTCCTCACTAGACTTGCCCTTCACACTTGTAACTGGTCCATCAAGCCAAGCCTTATCTTGATCTTCTCCACCTTAGTCATATGACTCAATGCCAAGTCTCATATGCAATGAGCTCCTTCATCACATATGTGAGCCTTGCAACAAATCCAAGCCATCTTCACTGTCATGGCATGAGTTGCTCACACACATGTACCTATAGACTAATCACCTGTGTATTGCACTTAAACACATATTAGTCCACCTAGGTTGTCACTCAATTACCAAAACCAAACAAGGACCTTTCACTTGGTTGTTGCATGCATTGGAAGAGATCAGAAGTTTTAGCGATTCATTTACGAAACCTTGGAAGTTTGCTATTATTTTGTGCCGGAGGTTCTCCCGTGACTACACAGATTTAGGCTTCAGCATTGAGTACCATGCGAGAGCATCTCCTTCCACAACAATGATGAAGGATTTGACCAGAACTATATTGTTGCCCCCTATGGAGGATATTACGGCCTCATAGCTCATAATGAACTAGCGTGGGTCTATTTGACCATTGTACTTGGGTAGGGATATGGGTTTGTAGGTGGATGGCCATGGTGATGTTTGCAGGCCTTTAGATAGTAGGGATTTGTTGTCTATTGGTTTGACTAGGTTGAGTGGTGTTCCAAAGGTTTGCTGAAGTTGTTGATTTAGCTGGAGGTTGGGTTGGTTTGGTTCATTTGGTTTTCTGCTTGTAGGATTGTGAGTTGTTGTCTGACTTCAGCTACTTGCTGAGTCATGAGGGTTGCTCTCTGGTTTGTGACTGAGGCTACAGCCAATCTATCTCTTTCTTGTTGCGCTCTTTGAAGCTCACCTTGTAGTTGCTGGAGTAGTTGTTCTAGTGTGGGATTAGGGGTTGTTGCACCGCTGCTAGGGCTGGTTCCTATACCACAAGCTCGGTTGGCCCCTCTTCCTCGGTCTCTAGGGTCTAGTGAGGCATCATAGGTGCTCTGGGTATTGCACCTTGACCTTCCTTATGTGGAGGCTTTCCTCTTGGGTGCCATACTGGGTCTTGGAGTGGCCTAGCACGGTGGGCGAAAATGTTGGGATTCAATTTCCTAACTAAGTGTGTTGACGTGCTAGGCTTAGCCAAGCGAAGGTCTCCCCATCGAATGCCTGGCCTTCGCTCGTCTAAGCGTAGTTACTGAGGCGATGTGTTCTAGGAAACTTAGCCAAATGATCTCTCCCTTTTTTGGAATCTGAGTTCCCTTTTTATAGGGTATGGTTACACATATTTCCTTGTACATAAATGCCCTCTACCCACTACAGTATATGCTAGAGTATTCCCAACTACCTAGAGCACACAGTCACGAGGGCTAGAGAGACTTTTATATTCACACCCGCCTTTTCTAAATGGGCCCTTGTGGATCCTTGGTTCAGCTTGTCGGGCCATTGGGTCCATCCGAAGGGCCTCCGACCGAGGACCCTCTTAATCTTGGCTCAAAGATCCTCGAGGAAGGGGCCTCCAAAGGTTCCCCAAAAAGCTCGTAGTGCCGTGTCTGTGGTGTTGGCACGAAGGCTTTGTCAGGGCCTTCGGTTCCAGAGGCCTTCATCATCTTCCCGCATTCCACCCTTCGCCCTCTGAGTGAAGGATTGATCCTCCATACATGCCGAAGGCTCCGTGGGACCTTCGATACTAGCTTTCGGCATGGACCTTCAAAAACCCCCGAGCATCATTGAAGGTTCGCCAAGGCACCTGTATTCGTAAGGTTTGCACAGTAGGAGAATTGATACAGATAGTGAACCTCGAGTGTGAGGCTTCGCCCCCAGCACATTGTAACATGTCGATATCCGCCCAAAGTTGGAAATTAAATATGACTTAGATGAGGTTTAGAGTAAATGCTTTTGGTTTTGAACTTTTAAAATCCCAAAAATCCTCATGCATGAATTTTACTTTCGAGTGGAAATGCCATGGTCGTGGTTCCCTAGTATCAGAATTCAGGAATGATTGAACATTGAAAGAAAAAAAAAGGTTGTTCATGATGGGACAAAGGCGCAGATGCACGAATGAAGAAAAAAAATGATTGGTGGGGCCAGAGCTAGCATTGAACCTAACGAAGAGATCACCGAAGGAACACACCACCAGCCTCTACGTGCTAGGGTGAGGACAATGATCGTGGCGCGTATAGTATATAACAGCAGAATGAAAAACAAGTACAGCTAAGCAGGCGTAACAAAAGGAATCGAAATAATGTTACACCCAAAAAATCTAGATGCTTGACAGTGAAAACTCGTCATCTTCCCCTTGTTTAATCTCAACCAAATTGGGGAAAGGAAAAATGTCTGTTTATCAAAAATAACCTTGCGCGAGACTACCGGAATTCAGAAATATATATAAACTTCTGCATATAGAGGGAAATATATATAAATATAAACTTGTGCATGGCAGTGCAAAGAGGAAACCAGGTGACTGTGGGGCCTACAATTTTTTAACGTACTTGCCCTCCCCATCACGCCGACAAGTGGGCCCGGCCGTTCTGTACCAGTGTATCCTTTCTTCAACCTCTAGCCGGAATCGGCAAATAAAGTCGGCGTCCCGGTCGCCGGTCGCCGGTTGCGAGCTCGTGACCGATCCTCGGCCTCCGCGCCATCTGCACTCTGCTCTGGCAACCCACTACCACCGCTTCCTTCAACCTCGCCATTATTTCACCTCGCACGTCCGCCCTTTTCTCCAAAATCCTACCACTCCACCACAGTTGCAGTTTGCACACACAGACACAATTCTTGCTCCACCTTTTGGTTCCTCAGCTCCCTCATCTTGCTCTGCCTCGGCAGCTGCCGCTGCGCAAGGTGAGCTTCGATCCGTTCTTGCTCCACCGTTTGGTTCCGCTTCTGCCCATCATAACGTTTCTTGTAATGTAATGTAACCCAGCAGAGAGAGTCAGAGACTGAGAGAGCGAGGTGGAGATGGCCAACACGCCGCCCAGACGGCAGGATGCTTCAGCGGCTCCGGCCACTTCTCCGTCCCTGCCCGGTGAGACATATGATAGGTCTAAAAGTATACATCAGTGGCTAATACTTAGCTTAGATTAGATAGAAGACTTAGGTCGCCAAGCGTAGTCGCAGCCATGGCGCTGCACGGCTTCTTCTACTCCGACACCCGTGGCCACATCGCTGCGGCGCCATGGCTGCTACTGCGCTTGGCGACCCAAGTCTTTTATCTAAGCTAAGTATTACCCACTGATCTATGACTTAGAAGTAATTTCAGACTTATCAACATACGCTCTCTTCTTCTTCTCTCACCCGGCCCGGCCGGAGATCCAGCTGCTAGCAGCCCAGATAGACAGTTGTGTTCAGTGATTTTTTTAGAAGGTTTTTAGGTCTCTGTTTCTATTCATAAAAAAACTGAGCCAAGACTCTTTTATTTTTTCCCTTATAATAATAATATAAAATTTAGGCCAAAGATTTTGATGTACTTTTTGAGAAAAAGAAAAATGAATGAACCACCCACACTCTGCAACGGTGTCACCATTTTCATAACTAATAAGCAAGTAAAATCAAGCACTACAACACAAGGAGGCCGAGCGAGAATCTATATATGACCATGCCAGCAGATACCCAAAGCTATTTGGGCTAACTAGGACTAGGAGTATCTATTTGTACTTTCAGTAAAACTGTGCGCCTCCATTTATTTTCCTAGTGCGTTTATTCCCATGTCATCCAGTTGCCCTGGCTCGTGAGGACTACAGTGCTGTGGCTACTGCCGTGGCTCTTCAGCACAGTGCAAGTGTGGTTTTGGTCCATCACCATCACGTTGCTTCAGAGCAGCTACTCAGCCGCCATGGCACTGGCTTAATCGTGTGGTCAAGTGCAGAGAGGAGCATGAGATGAATGATGAAGTGGAGATTGTGGTCAAAATGCCTGGCAGTGGCGACTACCTTCCTGCTACCCTGCTTCGAAGCGATACATCCCGTGATATCGCGCTCCTTCGGGTTACTAACAATGATGATAAGAGTAAGATAGGGCGCTCCCCCTCACCTTTGATGACCGAGTTTCCCCACCCGTGGGGACGGTTGTGGTGTTACTGGGTTACTTCGCTCCAGATGGTGAGGTTGGCCTGATGTCCCTGGATCATCATCTCCTGGCAAAATCGTGTAAGGATGATATAGACTGGTTTTCTTTTTTGTTACACTCCATGCATTAGCAGTAACTTAATAACATGTAATGACCAACCATGACGACCGTGTGTGCTATATTTAATTGTTGCATATGCATGCCTGCAGTTCAGATGCCTTTGGAAGTGTTGCCGAGGATGAGACATTTATGGATATTGACAAAGGGCTTGATGAGCTGATTAAAGCAAACTGCCCTTCAATTGAAGGTTGTTCAGGGTCACCGGCCACTAATAGCGGAGCACAAGGTTGTGGGTTTGCTTACTAGTGCTGTACATAGCGTTGACGTGTACCGTACTGTTCCAACTCTGAAAGCGGTCTTTCAACTTTGGCTTCTCATCGAAGAGACGGTAAGTGTGCAAAAATTAGTGATGTGGTACATGTTTATACTTTATTCCCACTACTAATTGGAACCCCCTTTTTTTAAGTCAGGACCAACGGACTGTCAATGACCTCATACCACTTCTAGCTGCCCTGGAGGCAGAATGAGCTTGATGCGGTGGTTGGTTCCTCATCGGCCGGCCATGTTTGTTGCATTGCCTTGTCTCACAGACCATATTTCTCTTAATTAGCGTCAAGTCGCACTTGAATTTGGGTTGGTGTGGTTAAGATACTTTTATGTCATGGTTGGTCATGCTTTGCCCCGTGTGATGTACGGGCTCCATACATTTGAGATGTACCTTTTATGCATGCATGGTTCGTGATACACTAATGTGGTTGAACTATGGTTTGGTCTACTTATTATCTACCTTGGTTGACGGTCATGCTATCTAATTTTGCTATTTATGTGTGTGGGCGCGCTCGCGCGCATATATGTGCTTGTAATGTATGTGTGTTTTGAGAGCTTTTGGCACATGGGAAACTCTGCCAAAATTTTCCCTAAGAGTCAAATCTATTGGACTTAGCAAGATTAACTCGGAGATAAGAGAATAAAGAACAACAGAGAATGAGTCGATTGGCAAATGCTAACACTCCAGAGAAAATTCAAGTAGGATAAGGGCATCACACTCTCGTGCTTACTTGTGGCTAATTAACATACATACAGACTACACAGTCACTTCCCTACTTAAGCAGTTTCACTCACCTTGCTCGCCTCCTTGGGTGATATAACACCTGCAATGCCACCTTTAGACTCCACAGACAAACGGTTGCTGTATTAAGGAGGCCACCTTAGACTCCAAAGAGAAACTGTTGCTATATTAACGAGGGAGAGCTAGTGGTAATGAGTCAATGTAAAATTTAAGCCAGCCTGTTCGGCAGCCTGTATCTGGCTTATAAGCCTTGGCTTATCAGCCAGCCAACAGTGTTTTCCTCTCACACCAAACCAGCCAGCAGTACTTTCAGCCATAACTTATAAGCCAATCCAGCCGAAACAAACAAGCTTGACACTGGCAGACTGCAACAGTTACAACTAGCCGACACTACCAAAATTTGCCTCTGCAACCACTTAGTGAGGCAGGGAGAGCATTATTACATAATACACCGTCCTATTTTTATTCTATCTCGTACTCCTAGCCTGCAAATTACCTTAGCAATTGTTGAACTCCGTCGTCAGATTGGTAATAGCTGGTACATGATGATGGCAGCCAGCAAGGCCAGGAATGCTGCGGAAATTAACTTCCAGTTTAGCATCGTCGGTTCAATAGATCGCACTGTCTCGAGTGTGCTCCCGGCACCAGATTTGTCCTCCACCACTGGAATCACCTCATCGGCTTCAACCTCCTCTTGTGGAGTGTTACCAGCTCCCTTCGCCTTTATAATTTACCAAAAAAAAAGGGGCACTCAGAGGTTAGGTGATAGGCCAACAGGGAGACAATCTTTATTTTCCAATAGCAATGCCAAAACCTAAGATAATCACAGCTTCCATAACAAAAACAATATACTCAAAGTAGAACTGACCTTGGTTTGTTGTGAAGAACTTGAAGCTGCTTCCCCTGTTACTTGACTGGCCCTAAGTTCACCTTCAGTTGTGGTAACATCCTTGCACAGCAATGTACGCTCGCTAATATTTTCTTTGCATTTTTGAGCCAACATTCTGTTCTTTTTTGTCAGTGTAACAATCTGTACATCACAGACAACAAGGAGTGGTTCAAAAACTGCCCAAGGAATTTACACAGACTCCCAAAGTACACATTGCAACAGCACAAACTATAGAGGATATACATTCGATATCCATCAACATTTAGTGGCCCATTGCATTATCTTACGCCGAAAGAATACCCCAAAATGGGGTGGAAAGCAGCAGGAGAAAGCTTTCAGTGTGAAAAAACAGAGAAGGAAATGAGGGTCAAAAGACAGCAGGATATTTCAGAATAATAAAATATGATTTCACAGTTGCATATCAACCATAACTCAATTCATAAGCTGGGCAAATGGTTACTTTGAAAAAGCAGGCAGTTCAATTCAAAGATTACTTGATAAAGTTATTTAACTAATTGTACTCTCCCTTAATTAATTAAGTAATTATAATCTCGTCAGATTAAACTAATTGTAATCCTATCTTCAATCATGACATATTTCTTCTGCGTTAGAGTCAGGTGAAATACAATTAAAATAATCGTTATGTACTGCCACCCATTTGGTTAAATAATGATTTCATACCAGACTCATTAGTATCATTAAAGCAATCATTCAACTTCTATAATTTGTATGCTTGTATTTCAGAGTAAAGTTGCTTTGTATAACATCCACAAATTACATACATACACCGATATACAGCAGAAGAAAAGGTGATATAATAAACTATCGTAAATAAGAACATTCGTACCTGAACATGAAGGCGTTCTCTTTCCAAGGCAAGTTTTGCAACCAAGTCCATGATAGTTTTAGTTTTACTAGCAATGTCTTTTGCACTGGACACCTTTAGTTTGTTAGCTTCATGCAATGAGTTTTCTAGGCTTTCTACTCGACCTCTCAGAAATGATAGCTCTTCACCAAGTTCTAAATTAGTATCTGTCAACAATGAACATTTTGATTCAGCACTCTCAGCCCTGGTTTCAGCTTTCAAGTACTTTTCCTTCAGATCTCCAATCACCAGTTCCATATCAGACATGGACAATCTTAACATACCCTGTTGTTCAACAATAGCATCAACTGATGCTCTTGCATGCTCTAGTTGAGTGTCTGATTCCTTAAGTTTCGTCTCCAATAAGCCAGCCCTATCTGACCCCTGAATTTTAAGAGAGTTCAGCTCCCCATTAAGCTGAGCATTTGTTTGAGTGAGCTGTATACACCTTGTTTCGGCATTTTGTGTTCTACTTTCTGCATTGGAAATGGCAAGTTTAAGATCAGTGATAATATTCCCGAATGCACTTATCTCAGACTCTGCAGTATCCTTCTCTTCTTCAGTTGCCCCTCTTGATAGAGATGATTGCTGCGGTTGAGAGCCAGAGTCCCTCAACAATTCCTCCAGCCGCTGAACCTTATTCCACAAAGTCAAGAACTCAGGAGGTGATAGCACCTGCATCTGCACAGGCTCCTGACTAGCATTGTTGTCACTGTCTCCAAGCACTATCTCCCTGGTGCTCTTGTTGGAACTTATTTTCATCAAGTTTTCCTCTAACTTTGATTTAAGATCGCCTTCCGTGCGAATTGAAGCACTTAAATAGAACTGGGTGGTATTAAGTTTGCCAACGAGTTCCTTTGAAGTTCCAAGTAACAATTGGGAAGCATTTTCTGCCGAGAACATTCTTTCATAAAGCTCTTTGATGGATTCCTCCAAGAAACACGATTCTTGTTCTGCATTATGCAGCTTCATTTTGAGGTCTTCCACAACAGACTGCAAATCACATAGCTTATTTTCAAGATCTAGTTTACTTGCTATCGACTGTTGTAACATCTGCAGTACATTTCTCTGATCCTCAGCCTGCATAGCAGTGTGACCTGACATATGACCGTTTTCATATCCCATACCCTCACTATTTCCTGTAAAAAAAATGCAGTAGTTAGAAAATGTGTTTGATCAACACTCAACATTAGATTAGTAGTAGTACCTAAAACGAATGTTTTGAGCATACCTTGTTTACCATGTGAAGGTTGTATGGCCTTCTCAAAGGTTGCAAGCTGTGTTCTAATATCAGAAATTACATCTTGCATCTGCTTCAAGGACTCCTTCCGCGTGCACAGCTTGTCAGTCACTCTGCTCCCGGGTTCTTCCCCCAAAGCCTTGGTTTCAGCATCGCCAATATCTGTTTGAATAGAGACAGCTAGCTTCTCCAACTCACTGACTTCCGAATCTACAATACTGTTCAGGACATCAAATTCGAAAGCCTTGTCAACCGACTCGGCTGAAATGGAACGAGGGTCCCGCATGAGAGGCTCGATATCAGAGGCTCGGCGGGCGATCTCCATGACCAGCATGTCTAGATTGAGCAGCTTCTCAGATCCAAATGCAATGTCATGGTACACCCTTTCCAGAATTGCCTCAGTGCTATCTGCTGCAACTCCTTCACCTCCTTGTGTCAGGCTCTTTTCATGAAAATAATCATCGATGCTGTGGAAATCCATAGGTCTGGCTTTCTGTAACCTGAAGGGTACGGTGAATACAGGAACGTAAGCGATGTCAAGTAATCTGTAGATAAGTAAGACTAGTTTGCATGAAGAAACTGGAATGAAACAAGCTGCTAAGTGTGAGTATGTACCCTGAACCCTCTCAGGAGAGCTGGGTTTTCGCCGACAGTTATATTCGAAGATGAACTTTTCTATGGCTTTCTATTCTAAAATCTATCTATACTATACTACTAAAAAGCGTGGAACGGACCCGTCTACCGCCCGTGGTGAAGCCGCTGCGATAGAAAGCCTTCTGGTGATTTTGCAGTGCGCCAACATGTGGCCCTCCGATCCTCTTCCGCACGCATCCCCTCCCTACTCCCCAGCCATCAATCAAGAAAAAAAAAGTGACTGAGTTAACCCTACCCGGCAGTGCGGCCTAGGCCTTGGATCGGGTTGGGTTTTCTTTTTTTTCTCTGAGTGGAATCTCATTCGACCTTCAGCGGCGGCACTGGTGATGCGTGCATGGTCTGATGATCAGCGACAAATGCCAAGCCATCTTGGACGACCTGCCCAGGGTGATGGCCACATCAAATTCAAGGAACCTAATCAGGTTACGAGGAGTACATAGCTAATCAGGTTTCTGAGTTATAAGTCAGGCTAGATCCAGTATATTTTCTTGTTTTTTGGTTAGTCTATGGTTTTCCCTAATGATATCCTAAATGCATTTTTATTTTGGCTGTAGGTTCATAAAATAACTTAGTTAGTCACCATGGGCGTTAATTTTTTCTGGTGGTTTTTTGCTTTATTATTATATTCTTGGTAATGTGTGCTTTTTAAAATGTCTTGCTTCTAAACTTTACTATTTTGCTTGATCAATGCAACAAGCAACTATTTCCTTCAAGGATATACAAGGATCGGATTCTGAGAAATTTAGATTATGAAAAATGTTGCAGCCCCTTAACCATGGTGATTAATTGATTTCTGAATTTAATTGTTCCTATCCTAACTTCCATTTTTAAATCTACCAAGTAATTAGTTAGTTGATTTCTACTCCTATTGTCTTTTGGTTGATTGACCATTGTCTGAAGGTAGGTGAATCTTGCAAGGAATTGATTAATTCATTTGATTTTTGTAGGAGGTCATCATCACGCTACAGATTTGGGCCATACTTTTGCCAGATTTTTTGGTTTGCCTTCTTCTGCATCAGGCTAAGTTGCCTATGGTTATGTTGTAGTTTCAGATCAAATGGCTATCGGTTGCAGGCAGGAAAAAGGAAGAGCTATATTCCTAAAAAAAAGGAAGTGCTATCGGTTGCTGCTAAGGTCTTGGTGGAGAGAACAACAGAGAGGAGGAGGTGTGTTCGCAATTTGACCTGCTGCTTGCCCATTTGGAGGAAGAAAAGAAATAAGCTAACCATTGGGAATTGCTTGCTTGGTGGAGAGAAGATTATAATTCCTAATATAAAGTTGGCAATAAAATAAACTAGAATGGTATGGTTTGTACCCCTGTCTCAATTTATGAATCATTACAGAACTAGGATAAATATATGTGCTTGTCTACACAGGGATACTGATTTGCTGAAACCTGAAATGATGGGTCAGGAAAGGCAATGCTCCATTGTTTCACTAAGATCGTTGTTTTTTATGATTTCAGATTCCTATACTACCATCTGAAAAGTGGAACAGTTTGTCACCTTTTGTCTTCAGAGCACTACCCTTTTAGCAGCAAATGATAAACTAGCCATTGACTTTTGGGGGCATTGATTAAATTGCTATTACTTATTAGTCACCTCAGTAGTTAGTTTAATGGATGCTACTGTTATTTTAGAACTGAACTATGTATCAACTATAATCAAATGGGAGTAAAAAAAGATAGACACTACATCTTCTAATCTTATTAACAGGAGTACAAGTCTTCTGTTCGTTATGCCTGTTACAGTGAAATTTACCTCGTGAATAAATCATATGACTTTATTTTCTCTCATTTTAACTGTTTATGCTTCTTCTTTGTTTTAAATAGATAATAATAGTGTGGACTTTGGATCAATGATGTATTGGTGTATATACAAACAGGTTAGGCTATCAGAATTTGGAACACTATGGTCAACTAGCAGGAATTTTATGTTCTTTTATTAAAAAATATATCAGATATATATATTGACCAGGTTGTGATGTCCCTCACAGAGCGCATTCTAGGACGGCGTTGTTCACACGCTGGCGGACTGACTGGGCATCAACAAGCAGTGTCAGAAAGCAAAGCCAGGCATTAACAAGCAGTGTCATCAAGCAAGACTTGACGGGGATAGCCTTGCTGCTAACAGTGTGGAGTAGGACCTGACGAGGAAGCCTGCCTGCTAATGTACGGTTTATTTCAGTTTGCTCGGTTGGGATCGTGTTGTGATGTTGTTGCTTTCATCGATGGAACAGTGGTGGTAATGACTAAGTGATGGGATTAGGGGAGGACTTTGAGTGATGGGTGAAGCAGCTGTCGTAGTGCCACAACATGGGATTAGGGGACAACAGGGTTGATGCATTGGGAGCCATATTGGTTATCGGTTGAGGAACGAAATGTGATCCGGCAATTGAATCTTGGGTTATCACACCCAGTATAAGAATTATGCTCCATCGTTGCCATGCATAGTACAATCGTCTTCAACTTATGTTGTATTTTTGACAAAATTTTCCATGACCTTTTATTGCATTGAAATTTTGATATTGATCCTGTGACATGTTTTCTCATGATAATATTTGCTCCCGTTGCAACGCACGAGCACGAACCTAGTATTCTAAAAAGCATGTCATCCTACTTATACTAAAAAAAGAGATAGAAGGTGTGAATATGAACAAAGAAAAAGGGAAGAAGCAGTACGGATTACGCAGATTAGAATGGTATATGCATATTAATTAAATAAATAATACGATGGATTATTGCCTTGAATCCCCTTTGGACGAGTAATCATGACAGGGCAACAAGAGCAGGTCGGGACACCGAATCGCTGAGGGATGGCAACTCGTGCGCCGTGCCAGCGCGCGGCGGCGTAGACGAAGCGCGAGAGAAGAGGAGGGGAGGGGCGATGGCTCCTGTTACCTTGGCTGGGGGTTTGGGTGCCGCCGCTGCGGATGGGGGGGAGCGCTGCAGCCTGCAGGCGCGGTGGTGCGTCGCGGTCCCCCGGAGGTGGAGGCGACTGGCTAGGGTGTGCTGCGGTGGGATGGGATGGGATGGGAGGGAGGGAGCCCTGCCCCCGTTAGTTACCGGTTCGCGGCGGATGATTCGCCGTCCCGGGCGTGGCGGCGACGGAAGGAGAGGCAGAAGAACGTTGCGCCGAGCCGGGGGGTTGATGTGGCGCGGACGTGGCCCTCGTGCTGTGCACGATTCTTTTCTGTCAGGGGATGAGGGCACAACGGCCATTTTTTCACACACACACACACACAAAAGTTAAAACAATTTATTTTTCTATGAATGAATATTTAGATGCGTGTCTTCAACATGAATGCTATAGTATACCAAAGTTATTTTGTGAACTCCTCACCAAAAAAAAAACTGCATCCTTCACTTGGCTTGTTCGTCGTGGATGCCCACCGTATGTCTTTAACTTGGCTTGTTTCCATGAATTTCATAAGTACATGGATTTATGATATGCTAACTGATTAGTTCAACCAATGTATTTTACCTTCATTGTAATTGGGATTTCGGTAGATGTTTCTAAGGATCATATGTACTAGCTTCACATCATGACTATATTGACATCTTTGTTTTTTTACAAAGGTAACTCACACTGTCATCACTATTTATGACACTAGTAGCAAGAAAACCATGAGGATTCTTCTACTCCTCTACGTAGCTTCTTCAACATTGATGTAAGGGTATGAAAAAGAATACAAATTCACCTAGAGAATCATCATAAAGAATCCCTGCAAAAAAAAGAGAGAATCAACATAAAGAAGCTCTCATTGTTTGTTGCATGACTTGTAACCAATCTAAATATATTAAGGCAGTTTGGTTTGGCCGCCTCTCAGGCCATCCACGTCACCCGAATTGTTTCCGGCCGTCCGATCCTGCGATCGACGCTCCATATTCACTCCGCCGCCCGCTACAGTGCATCGCCCCTGCCACGAAACCATCACCGCTTCCCGTCTCTAGATTCTTCCCCTTTCTCTCCGACTCGCCTCTGCCGTCTGTCGCTCCGCCTTCCCTTCCTCGCGCTCCGCCTCCACGTTGCGCCGCCGTATGCCGATCTGCTCTGCTCTCCGCATCCACCGGCGCTGACTCCCCTGCGGCGGATCCGGCCGTGGTTGACCCCATTGCTGCGACCATGGAGCTTCCCTTTCCTCCCTCCTTGTTCCTTGGGTTCCCAAAACCCTAGGTCCGTCGCATCAGTGCGCCCTGTGCTTCGCGCTTCACCTCCGACCGGTGTGGCCTGCATTGGAGCCTTCGCTTCGGTTCTGTACGGTGGGGGGTCTCCCGCTGGTCCTCCAAGGGCGGCGGGCCTGCTGGGCCCTCGCCGTGCCACCTCCGTTCTTCTCCGGCCGACAGGTGCTTCGGTGGGTTCTCTGTGCTTGCTTCGCCGCCTCCCTCTCTCCCCATGTGGCGGTGCACCGGCTGAGCCCTTGCGCTGGCCACGCATGGTGTGCAGGTGGGCCTCAATGGTGTCGCGGTTGGCACGGAGCGATCTCAAGCGCTCCTGTTTCCTCTTGCTTTGTGATTTTGCTTTTGTCTCTCTGATTTCTCCCTACGTTGATTTGGATTCATGTTCTAGGGTTTGGCCTATAATGCCTGCAGCTCCATACCCGTTGCTCAAGGATTTGCCATTTGCCATTAATTTTTTTCCTTCAACCTGTGATGAAAATTCCATACCCGTTGCTCAGGGATATGAACTGATGTTCATTTGCTTATGAGGTACTAGGCATGACCTGCTACTTATATTGTGCAATTTCTGTGTAACCCAGTTGTCAGCATGCCTTGAAGCTCCAAGTTGATGAACAGATGATGATTGGTATGTTTCTGAGGCCTATAAA